TGTGCCCGAGCAGCCGGGACTCCCCGCAGCCAGGGCCGGCCCCGCGGTGCCGCTGCGGGCTCGGGGAGGGCAGTGGGTGCGGGCGGGCGCGGCTGCCCGGCAGAGGAGGGGGCTGCCCCCGCTCTCGGCTCTATAATGCCGGGGCCCCTCACCCAACCGCACCGCATTTTCCGGCTGCCGCAGCAGCCTGCGAGCGGCTCCTYTTCCTCCCCTCCGGCCCGGAGACGCTCGAGGATTAGGGAAGGGAGGCAAATCCATCAGGCGAGAGGCAGGGCGCGGAGGCGGGCCGTCAGCATCCCTCCGCTCCGCTCCGCTCCGCCCGGGCCGGCGGCGCCGTAGGGCGAGCTGCGGTGCGGGCGCAGGAAGGGGCCGAGCTGCCGGAGGTGCCCGGGGCGCCGGCGGCTCCCAGCGGCTCTCAGAGGCCCGGATCCGCGGCTCGGGGCTGGCGGGGCTCGGCGGCGGGAGAAGCCGCCGCTGCTGTTGGCGTGTCCGACCCTCGCGGCGCCGGCTCTCCCGGGATGGGCCTCCAGGAGCTGGCSGTGTGGCTGCTGGCGGCGGCGGGGCTCGTCCGCGGTGAGTGAGCGCCGRCCCCGCGGGCAGCAACGGGAGCCGCGGCGGAGCGGGCGGGTCGGGCGGGCACGGCTGCCCCGGGTTCTCCCCGGGCTCTCCGGCCCTGGCCGTCCCCTGCTGCCCTCTCCCAGCCTCGCCGCCGCGGCGGGGATCGCCCCCGTCCCGGGCCGCCCTGAGGGCTGGCCGGCGCTGGGACCTGCCGGGAAGGGACACGGGAGACGGACGGAGCGGTGGGAATGSGGGAACGAACTCCGTCTAGGGACTGAAATGGTGGCTGCCCCAGGGCAGAGGMTGCGGCTTTTTGTGGGGGGAGTTCAGGAGTAAAAGACAGGGAAGAGGGAAGTCCCGTCTGGAGTGGGTCAGGGAGGGCTCACCTGTTCCTACCCTATCGCACCTTTCCCTTCATCTGAAAACTGCCCCTGTCCCTGGTCTACTCTGCTCCGTTCATGAGCTCCTTCCCTTTACAGAAAGACGGCAGAATAAGGATCCTCCCTGGATTTGAAGTGTTAAAAGAACAGAAATCCASGATTATTTGGATATATATTAATGTAGTGCCTATCACCTCTGTCAGGAAGGCCGTACCCCACCTCCTTTATAACTGCATGAACAGAGAGCAAAGCGCTGAGTACTTGCCCCGAAGAGTTCCCTGTCTGAAGCAGCCTGAGAGAAGCGTTCAGTCTAACCTGTGGCCATTTTTCTCCCATTGTCTTGCTGATGCCCTCTGCCGTATCTCTGTTCTGCTTTTCTGGTTAAAGCTATGCCAGGACAKGTGTCATATCACAGATACTGGATTTCCTCTTCATCATTTCTTGCTGCTGGAGCAAAGAGTGCATACATTGAGAAAGCATCAATAGCATTTAGAATTTATCACTCCTGACCAGTCAAGAAATTATCAAAGAGGCAATTCCCCCTTACAGGCTGGGATGAACATTTGTGATTAGGATTTTGTTGTAGTAGCTAAGAAACTATTTGAAATACAGTGGCATTTGTCTGGGAATGCAGCACGTGTAATAATAAATACATAAGATCTTATAGCAGTAAAAAAGCTAAAAAGCTGAACTTTCCTGATGCAGAATCCTTATTATTTGTCTATTTATTCTTGTGCCCAAAGAGTCCCTGCAAGGAGAGTTCCAAAGGAAGCTTTACAAGGAGCTGCTGAAAAATTACAATCCGTTGGAGCGACCAGTAGCAAATGATTCCCAGCCACTCACTGTCTATTTCACTCTCAGCCTCATGCAGATCATGGATGTGGTAAGTCTGTAACCTTCCAGGAAACTATTTCAAAKGGTGGATTTTACCTTCCTAGAATGGACATTTGAGACAGCAAAGAAAGATTACAAGAAATTGGAAAGCACAAATAATTCAAGACACAAYGCCAAATTTTGTCTGCCTCTTTAAAGAACTAAACTTAGCAGTAAATTTTACATCTTTCTTAYATCTCTTGACAGAAATTCCCAGCATTTTTACCAGCACAAAATGTTTCAAAAGGAGCTCAAAATGCACACTTTACGTTTCACATCCTTAATTGTCCTTTGAACCAACAAGCAGTGTAGTCTGGGAGGGGTATACAAAACCAGAGTTCTTGATTTCTGGTGGTCACTTAAAATCTCCCTATTTTTGAAGATGGAATGGAGAGGAAATCCTGGCCAAACTCTTAGGTTATGTTACTTTTTATGGTATGTAGACAAGATTGCTACATTCTATATGCTTAAATAGCCACTGTATTTGCAATCACACTCGATTGGTATATCAATAAGTATTCCTGTGCTGGACTTGTAAAATGCATGTAGGATCTTTTGGGGTTAAAATATGACTAATTTAAGCTTCACTCTGTCACAGTGGCACAGAGATGCATCTCAGCATGTAAGTGGATTTGCACTATTTGTTTTTACTGAATTCAACTAACTATGACAACTAATAAAGAAGTTTAAGTCTTAAAACTGTAGTTAACCTCTGAATTCCATTATCTCCCCATCAGATGCATAAAGTTCAAGGCACAGAGTTAATTTGTTGTGGAGTTATCAAACTTAATTAAAACTGATACAAAATGAAAGGAAAATATCCACAGATCACTAGCCAATCTGGGGGTAGTCAATGACGGGCTGTAGTCTTGGCTGATATGATTCAAAAGAGAGCTTTTGATCCCATGTGCCTTCCAAGAAACCCACTTCATAGTTAGTAAGAAACCTTGCTTTTTGTGCTGGCTGTTTAGTTACAGCTCATTCTGCTTGCCATAAAACTCACTGCATTTCTCTCTCAGAGATCTGGGATTGACAGCCAAAGAAAGAAACCAACCATGAAGTAAATTAAGCTTCACACTATAAAACAAATGAGTTTTCTTCATTGTCAACAAGAAGCAAATGCTGGTGGTAATGACAGCTACTTGCAATAACAATTACTGGTTTAACAAGCTAGAAACAAAATATGTCACCATCACACTTTCCTGTAATCTGTTCACTTGAATGGCTTCTCAGCTGATAGCCACTGAGGCTGTTTGGGAGTTAGACCCTTCCAGASCCAATTCATCAAATCCCTGCCAGAACAGACTGAGCCAGGCTGGATCCTGGGTTGCTGCTATTCCTTATGTGAAGTCTCTTCCATTGCACTCTGACGTTGCTGACAGGATAAGGGAGACCGTATRTGAAATCTTTTCTGAATACAGTGGATGTTTCCTACCTTTTATTTCTAGTTTTAATCTGTCCTATTAAAACTAGAAATTTTCTACCCCATGGTTATAGATATGTTTTTCTTKTAATGGTATTGCATATCAATATGCATGTCAGAATCAGCAGTACATAATGAGGGATCTGTACCTGCCGTTTGCCCCAGCTTGGTGTAGTTCACTAGAAAATAGAGTTAATTAATTGTCTAATGAGAATKCAAGCTGGCATAGTAAATTATACAAAGTGTTTCTAAATGGGGAGGAGAAACAGTGGTSGCAAGAAAAAAGCAGTTTAGTGTCATGTGAGTGAAGAGGAGGGCTGGGAAGCTAAGGAAGCACTTCGAGAGGAAGTGAGAGGACATGGTAGGTCTGGGGTACATCAAAGACATTTGGAAGAAAGATGGAATTTAGGTGGAAGAGGATGGGATGCAAAATGGARAGTAAGAGGTTTGAAAGAATGGACTTCAAAAAGAAAAATCTTGAGAGATAAAGACTAAAGCATACCTTAGTGGAAGGAGAGGAAGAGGAGCTCATGGATGGTCATGGCTGCTCAGGGTCACAGCTTCAGTACAAAGTCAGTAAAAACAAGGAATAGGATGTAGAGAAGCTATTTTTCTCTACTTCTCACCTCATGGMAACCCCTCAATCTGCACATAAAACTGGTCTTTGGCTTTTGCTTGTCTGGTATTTTTGTGCTGGGAAATAGATTATTGAGAATACACTGATATTCTTGAGAATCAGATTATTGGAATACACTGATATTATATATTTTCCACACTAGAAAAAAATATAGCTACCACCTTTTTAAACACTGTATGGAGGTAAATATCTTCTAACACTCCTGTTTGCTCTTTTAACATCCATCCCAATACTAATGTCAGAGGAGAATATCCAGCCACTRCCTGTTGGTTTAGAGGGAACACTAGGAATAGACACAGTAGCAGTGCTGTTCCTACTCTGCTACATCTCATACAGAATAGTGACTTGCAYAGAAAAACAAATACAGTGAGTGTGAGGTGTGAAGCTTGTGCCTAGCCTGGCATTTTAACAATAGACATATCTGTATCAACTGTAAGTTAATACAATTAAGAGAAACGTATCTGAAGGTATTTCATCCCCAAAACTCAGAAGATGAAACTTCAGAAATTTATGTAAAATGGTCACCCACTTATACTGCAAATGACTTCTTAGAGACATAAACATGAAGAATTGGAATACACAGAGATATAGAGTGATAGTTCAAACTTGATTTCTACTGCTATCTAAATGAGTAGAAAAGTCACGGTATTATTTTAGTTTGGAAAGGGCCACTAGAGTTCATCTTGTCCACTCCTCTACTGCAAAGATGTCTTAAATCATTATGTGATCATAGATCACATTACTCAGGACCATGTTCAGTCAAGTGCTGAGCACTTCCTCAGCAAGAGTTTCCCAACCTACCTGGGCAGTCTGGTTCAGTATTCAACTACCATCATGGTAGATTTTTTCCTCAACATCTAAGCATAATTTCCTATTTTTCAACTTGGAAACARCACAAAAAAACACCTCTAGAAAAATGAAACACCTTTTCTTCTTCATTAAAGAGGGGTATATGAAAAAGATACTTTTAGTGAAGTATTCCAGATTTCTTGACCCTTTGCAGCAAGGTATATATATTTCTGAATAACACAGCAGAAAGCTAGGGAATAAAGTCTTGGTAAATCCACATGAAAGAACTTGTTCTTAGCAGCTGTCAATGRTTCACTGTCAATATATGAGATTTAGCTACGTGTGTGATTCCCCAGGAAACTGCATTGAGTCAATGTTTTCCTTTCCTTTAATCTGAAAGATAGAATAAGTAATAATTTTATTAAATTTGCGTATGTTGAAAGTTTGGGAGGAATTCAGACCATATGAAAGGCAAACCTAGAATTTAAGAGTCTTGTAAATCTAGGACTGGTTTGACCCAGTTTTTGTGTTTTTCTTTTTTTTAAAGCAATTTTTTTTTCAATTTATGTGAGATTTTGAGCATTACAGTTTTAGAAATATTTGGATGCACTGGACATAATCCATCTGCTGGAGKCTTTTTCATTGAAGGAGTTTAATTTGATGCCTAAGTGCTTTCTTAACTGGAACCAAAACCATGTCAGTAATATCTCTGTGTAAGGACAGGTATTTGTATTATATTTATAATTCCATCAACTGAGTCCAGACTCTCGCTGTACTAGRTGATATGTAAACACAGATGAGAAGATCATCCATGCTCCAAAACATGTACAAACTATATTTTGATAGACTAGATTTTTGTACCATCAGAGTTGTTCATATTGTAAGAACTGTTGACACTTACAAAGCACTGTTAAATAAAACTTCAGCATAAAAATGCTCAAGTTAAGACTAGAAAAATTATTGCATTGTATTCRGACCAAGGGCTTTTTGATATTAATTTTCATTAATATATGGGTTAGATTTTTCTAAAGAATTTTAGAAAATTACAACTGTTTGAAAAATTGCTCTTTTCTGCAGCTTTCTGGTTTGACTCTAGAATTTTCATCAGTTTTCTATGTGGAATTTGGGACAGCACTTTGGGAGTGTCCTAAGCTGATCTCAGCCTTTGCTACTGGCAGAGCTCTCACTGAGCTGTGGGCTCATCCTCCCACAGCTTTGGCTTGCCCCAGTGCCTCTCTGAGTGAGAGTTACCTCATCCTTTTTTGAGGGGTCATTTCTTTACATGACCTGTACGTTGGCTTTAGATTAGTTTAAACTGCTCACAAAACTACCTGTGGTCCTTCTTCACTTAAAATGTCAATTGTTTCGAAAAACCCAAGTGTGGTCTATCTTTGATTCAAGTTATAAAACTTGGGAGGATGCTGGATCAATACTATCTTAGCTTGTGACTTCTTCAAAAAGACTCATGGTGACAAACCTATCTCATTTTGGTGGGTATGAGTGTGACCATTTTGGTCTCCTCTGATCATAAACTAGTTAATTGTTTTTTTCTAGCTGAAGAATCAACATTTAATAATTTATTTAAGAAAGTTGAATTAAGCTACTTATCTACATGAATATTCAAATTCTTACTTACGTTGCATAATACTATTTAGTCAGGAATCTTTCTTGGTTCCTGCAGACACTGGCTAATTAAATCATTTACTACACAACAGTTTTAGCTTATTTTCCAGTTTCTCCTGTTTCTTTTTTTTTTTTCAATTTCTGGTTAGGGGAGAGAAAAGCGCTGAATAGTTGTTTGTATGTGGTGAGCAGCAGCAGAATCTCAAGAGAAATCCTGTTCCTTTAGGCTGTTCAGCTCACTTGTGCAGACCAAAGGATAAATGAAAGCATGCAAACTTTTTTACATTTATCTGAACTTAGTCAAAGTTTGCTTGTCCTACATTGCCTTTGGTTACTTGCATGCCTTAGTTTTATATATTCAAGGGCTTTTGTCCTTATTTTCCACAGTTAAGTACTCCAGCTGACTTCAGTGACTTACGCACAATGCTTTGCAAAGCCTCTGCAGAAGGATCTGCAATTCAGTATTTGCAGTCCAATACCCTTGACCCACTGGGCATGATAGAATTGTGAAATATCTCGAAATTTTGAAAAGAAAATT